GAGACTTGTTTGAGCCCAGGAGTTGGAGGTTGCTGTGACCTATGATGCCACGACACTCTACCTAGGGGGACAGCTTGAGGCTCCTGTCTCAAAAAAAAAAGAAGTCTCAGCTGTGGCAAAATACAAGCAACTAAGACACCCTGGTCCCTACAGGCAACAACTGGAAAAGGAAAATCAAACCTTCCCACCACAAAACCAGGGTACCACCTTGGATGGTCCTCGGGTGATTGGGCCAGGTCAAGAGTTCCAAAACAATTGTCCTGATCAGCAACAGGTCTCAAGTGGGAGAGTTCAAAAGGTCTCCAGCAACTAGATAACAGGGGTCTGCTGGCAGCTCAAGTGGGCTCACTCCCATGCTCCATGGAGTCAGAAGTGCCCACCCAGCAAATGAGTTAGCCTGTGGAGGTTGATGCCTCCTTCCCACCTTGCACCTCTGCCACACCCAGTCACTGGTATTTCCACACTGCTATGGCCCAGTTCCCTCCAATGAGCAGATGTGCCAGGGGTTTGTACCTGCCTGAGTCACAGGGAGATCTGTGTCTCCTTGGACAGGCCACCACACTCTGCCATTAGCTGGCTGGAGCTAAAGCCTAACTACCTCGGGTGCGTAATGGAACCTGAGGAGTATCACTTAGTTCCAGCCCCACTCCAGATTGATGTTACTACCACTTATATTCTCAGAGAATTTGCGTTTCTGTCCCAGCTGTATTCCACTGTGGGCCAGGTATAGTTTGAGTTCACAGAAACTGTGACTCATCCCTGCCCTGTGCTGTTGCTTCTGTGCCAATTCTCACAGAGCTGGCATCTCTGTCTCTGCTGCACTCTGTGTCAGAGCACTTGTGGTGAGAGCTCACAAAGGGCTCTCAGTTCCTGCCCCTCCCTGAGCTGATGCTGCTCTCACACCTTCTGTTGTCCCAGCTATGCTCTGCTGGGGGCCAGATGCAAGTTGAACTCAGAAAAGCAGCAATTCTGACTCAGCCCCACCGTGGGAGTATGCTGCCTCTGTGCGTGCATACTCTAGTCTCCTTCCCTGCCATGCCCCTCCTGGGCTGGTACTGCCTCAGGCATACCCTTTGTTCACAGGACCTGCGTTTCAGTGGCTGCCACCAGAGTAGAGGCCTGTCTCCCTCTGGTTGCTAAGAGGGATGGGAAGTGTTTCTCCAAAATATCATCAGGGGTGTGAGCCCTATTGTTCCCATCTTCACAGTTGTTGCTGCTGCACTGTGCCATAGGGTACCATTTCTCCCTCTCCCACTTGGCTCCCTCACTCCATAGTCCCTGCTTTACACCTGTGCTGCTGATTCAGCACAAACTTGTAACAGCCCACACCTTGTCCATAGGTTTCAAGAAAATGCCCAAGAGTCTGGACTCTGTGGAGGACAGGCTTCCAGAACTTGGGGTGGGAGTGGAGGAGAGTGCTGGGAGTTCAGAATTGTGGGTAGTATATGTGACCAGTTTTATGCCTGGGGGAAGACTGCCATGGCACACTAGTGGGTCCTGTCTAGGGAAGATGATCTGGTTTTTAGTGGATCTCTCCTGTGGAATAGAAAAAGAAGAGATCTGAACTTTGCTCACTAGTTTGTAGAAAGTACACTGCGAGCTATTCTCATGGTGGGGGGAATCCCATCTCCTTAGTGATGGGTTTTGTACCTGTTGTTTGTTTCCTTGGGATTGCAGTTTGCCTCAGAAGGAGTGATATGTGCTCTTCATTCTTCTCTCTTGGCTCAGCTTCAAACCATCAGCTTAATTGATAAACTTCTGTCCTTTAACGTTCCTTCTGGATGGAGCCTCTATGGAAAGCTGGCTCCAGTTGACCATCTTACCTCCTACCATCAAGATATTCTTAAGTTAAATGATTTGTTATTATGATGTTTTACTAATTATCAGGGACATACTAATTACAATAATGAAACTATATAATTTTCACCCATCTTATCAATTTTTGGCAAGGATGTAGGGAAATAGATACATTCGTACGTCAATGGGTAGAACAACAATCTGGTACAATCACTCTGGAGGGCAGTTTGGCTATATCAATTTTAATTTAAAAGTGTCTCTGTCTAATGACTTACAAAACAATTTCATTTTAAGGAAACACTTTTACATGGAATAAGAAGATACGTACAAGTAAGAAGTTCATTGCAATATTATTTTTAATTGGAAAAAGGGAAAAAACCTAACAAGTCCCAACAATAGCAAAATAATTAAATAACTATAAGAGTGAAGTTGAGATATATATTTCATGGATGGATTTCTCAAACGTGTTTAAATTAAATAAAAGAAATTAGGGAATGATACACTTAATATAACATTTATGTTAAAACAAAGCAATATTATATTTTCTGGTGGTATATGAATAAATTCAAAAAGATTTGGAAATGGTAGCTATGGCTGCCAGAGAGTGCTGGAATTCAGCCTTGTATCCATGCAATACTTTAAAAAATACTTTGAAAAATACACTACTGGGACCTGATCAAACTAAAAAGTTTCTGCACAGCCAAGATCACAGTAAGTAAAACATGCAGACAGCCCTCAGAATGGGAGAAGATATTGCAGATTATGTCTCTGACAAAAGTTTAGTAATCAGAATCCACAGAGAGCTCAAACATATTAGCAAGAAAAAAACAAGTGATCCCATCTCAGGGTGGGCTAGGGACTTGAAGA